AGAGAGAGAGAGAGAGAGAGAGCACAAGCAGGAGAGGGGCAGAGAGAGAGATTGACACACAGAATCCGAAACAGGTTCCAGGCTCTGAGCTGTCAGCACAGAGCCCGACGCGGGGCTCGAACCCACAAACCGTGAGATCATGACCTAAGTCAAAGTTGGACATTTAACCGACTGAGCCACCCAGGTGCCCCTACGTGAACTATTTATTTCTATCTACGATGTAGCCGGTGACTAAATATTAAAGGTGTGACATTGTATCACTCTGTAAGTTCTATTTGGTTTCATGCTGGAAAAGCAGGGCTAGTTTCAGAAATAGTTTCTCTAAGAAGCGTTTGCTTCTAAACTTAAAAAAGAAAGAAAGAGAGCAAACACTCGTAGCCAATGATCCATATTTATGGCTGGTACAGACATAAATATAAATATCCATATTTAGCATTAAGAAATTTTCATGCTGTCTGTCCATCATTTGAATATGGAGAAAGGGGTAAGTGTTCCCGGAATATATTTCAGAGTCAATAAGTAAAACAACTGGCTTACAAAAACTGGGGAAATTTCCCAGTTTCCCCATCCTAACCATCCTGAACAGTATCCTACAACACACTTCCTGGCCTCCCTTGCTCATTCTGTCTGTCTGTCTCACCAAACAGGCTACACTGAGCTCCCTGTTCTCAAGCATTTCCTAAAGTAAAGGCACCGCCTTTGCATCCCAACAGACTTTCTTACTAAATATCATCACAAAGCAAAACGACAGATGCAGCGGGAAGGCTTAGCTGTCGATGGAGGATGCTTGTCTCCTCCCTGCTGGCTTGCTCTCTTAGGCAAAGATCAGGCCACGTATGGCCCGTCGGCGTGGGCGACGTCAGCTCTGGAGGCTGTCAGTGGTGGATTTGGGGATGCAGCGTCCCACCCACCTGGCGACCTGACCGCTGCCCGCGCCGGGCAGGTCCCCCAGAGTTCCGTGGCTCAGAGGTCCTGCTTCCTCAAGCTCTAGGAGAGCGAGAGCGGTAGGGCATGGCGTTCGAGAACTCTTCAGGCTGGCCGACGGCAAGCATGAAACAGGCCCAGTGGGAACCATGGAAGGCTCTCGGAGACCTGCACCCCCTCAGGCCTGGGGCACTAGAGCAAGGGAACCTGTTGGTTGGGGGTCAAGGCTTCACCTCTCAACACGTGTATCAGAAACAGAAAGAGACTGTGCAAAGTGTGTGTGTGTGCGCGCGCGTGTGATGATTAATGTGTTAACCTCTATCAAGTAAGACCAAACACAGACTCAGAAGGAAATAAGAACTTTTAAAAAAGAACCATGCTATAAAAGTTGTTCCAATTAGCTATTTGCATTCATTATTTATTCTTTCTCTCTGCCGTGTAATTAAAAAACAATAGATTGAACATATGCCAGATTAGCTGTGTTCTGAATCTGAATGCTGGGAGAGAGATCAAAGACAGGTGACCAGTGTTTGCACTTGTAAGTTACACAGCAGGGATCAGAAATCATCTCTGGCTATGCAGTAGCCAAGTAATCAAGTTCCTTTTTTTTTTTTTTTAATTTTTTAATGTTTATTTTTGAGAGACAGACAGAGCATGAGTGGGGGAGGGGCAGAGAGAGAGGGAGACACAGAATCCAAAGCACAGGCTCCAGGCTCTGAGCTGTCAGCACAGAGCCCAATGTGGGGCTCGAACCCACAGACCATGAGATCATCACCTGAGCTGGAGTCAGATGTTTAATCAACTGAGGCACCCAGGCACCCCGCCCCCCGACAAGTGATCAAGTTCTAATGGAAAGTAACTCTGCTCAGTTGACTTTGGCAAATGACATCTTATTGACTCTTCAAAGATGAAGGGTCTTGCTAAAAGCTTTTAATGGTGACTTTACCACCTTACTCATCAAATTTTGACTTGTGAGTACCATACACAGATAGTAAATGCAGGCTGATTTGAAGAAAGTTGACAACTCTGGACATTAAAGTCAGTTGAGCACTCTGCAAAAAGCAATTTCCATTTGCTGAAAATAACTCAATCCAAATACTATTTAAGAGCAAACGCTATGCCATTATCTCCCATCCAAACACACACACTCTGTCTGCTAGAGAATCCCGCAGAAGACGTATCTTCCTCCAGCCATTGCAAAATGTTCAATTTGATCACACTGCCGGGAAGAGAAAGGTATTTTCTATCTATAATACCATAAATAGTTTGTTTCTCAAACCGACTCCAGGAAAAAGGGTAGAATGTCACGTATCTGAACTTCTGAGTAATGCCAAAATATGCTGAAACATTTCCCAAAAAAAACATGTCGTAAGCATTAAGTCTTAATTAGATTTTGTGCTCTGGTGAAGTGTTCTTAAGATCTGGGGACTGAAACATTCTTTTAAAGAAGTTTACAGTTTTCTCTTCTAAATATTACCCTGCTCACAGACAACTTATCAAGGATTCTTTCTCAAGTATTTTCCGGAATAACTTCAGTACTATCAGCAACTTCTGCTGCTGCCCAGGAGAAGTCTTTGCTTTGAGAGAGTTACGAAAAAGCTCCCACAATCTTGGTTTAAGATGAAGTCTGCCTGCTTGTTTTTATACCGCGGTTGGGTTCAGTGCACTGCGCCTACCAGCTGGACTAACGGTTGTCATCTGATTGAACACCAAGACTGACCCGGTGATCTTAAGGTAAAGGTGCAGCCAAGGGCCCTCTCTCCATTTGCTGGGGACATTTTCAGCAGGGAGAGAACCTGGGGCTGGGAGGTTCTAATAGTTAAGCACCCTACCGAGGTGGACACGAACCAGAGAGGAGGCTTCCATACCCATTTACCTTACCATTTGCATCCAACCCCACGCCCATCATAGTCTACTATGAACTAAACTGTTGCTTTTTGAAGAATTCGGGTAACTTTAAAACAGGTCCCTTCACCAAAGAGTGGGGGCTGCTGAAATACCACCAAAGGCATGGTCCCCGCTGGCCTTGTCCAGTGGTCCATCCCTGATACCTACAACAGCCTGACACATAGCTATGCTCAATAGACGCTTGTTATATGAATCAACTGTTCAGCCTAATCATGCGTACGTTAAATTAAATACGTTAGCTGAAAGCTCATGCATGCATCTCATTTACATCCAGAAATGGCTGTGGTTTGGTTTTGCTTTTGCTTCACCACTGACTTAATTATAGCTAGTTTGGATCTTCAAATACAATTTATTTGTGCTATAATAAATTTGAGATTCATTACAGGTTCTCTAGAATGAAAGGTAAGCCTAAAATGTGGTTGGTCCTCAATATATACTATTAGTAACTACGTCAGTTATGGCTATGCTTGAACCAAGACGGTATTACAAGTTACACTGAGACTATATATATATATATATATATTAGTTATCGTAAAAAGTGACGATATTTGGCTCTGAAAAAAATTGGTTTAAGTACCGATCTGTCACTTGCTGAGTAACTTTGGGCCCTTTATTTTAACCCCTCCAAGCATATTCCCTTATTGTAAAATGGGAATCCTAATAGTGTTTGCCTACGAGAACAATATTTACCAATAACGAGGTAATTTGTTACGAGGATTAAATAATATAATTCATTTAAAATGCTAAAATTAGTACTTGGCACAGAGCAAGTGCTCACTAAATATGCTCCAGTGATAATCCTATTTGATGCAATGGTTTTTCACCCCCTTTTCAGTCCTTTCTGCAAGAACGCTAGAACATTTTTTATTTTTACTCTTAAAAAGACATCGACCATCCCTGGGGGAATAGAATTACCTCTGTTCCACGGAGGTCCTTAGGAAAATAGATATCTTCAGTCATTTGAACACTTAGGCCAAAATCCACCAAAACGGCTTTTGTGGACATGAAAACAATGTTGCTAGCTATAAAAAGAAGACAATTTTTTAGTATCAAATTGTCTATATACCCATAAATAAAATAAAAACATCATCCAAAACAGTGAGTCCCAAATCAGAATAGACTAAAATGCGCTCCCTACCAGGATGATCATATTATACTCAAAAGAGCAGGATAAATCTGGGTGAGAATTTAAGTGAAAATCACTTTAGATATGCCAAGAACGCAGTCGATGTGGGCGTAAATGGTTGCACACACTAATAATGCTCAAGATACAATGGCCAAGTCATGGAAACGATTTAAGGGTACATGATGGATGAGTGGATAAAGAAAATATGATATGTGTGTATATGCAATATAATAGAACGTTACTCGGCCATAAAAAAGAATGAAATCCTTCCTGCCTTTCACAACAACATGGAAGAACCTTGAAGATCAAGTGAAATGACTGAAATCAGACTGAAAGATGAAAGCTGTATGAATCCCACTAGTATGTGCAATCTCAAACAACTAAACTCATAGAAATAGACAACATCGTGATGGCCAGGGGCTGGGGGTTCGGGGAAATGGGTGAAGGTGGTCAAAGTGCACAAAATTGCAGTGGTAAAATGAACCAGTTTTGGGGGTAAAATATACACCGTGGGTGACTATAGTTAATAATACTGTATTATATATTTAAATGTTGCTGAGTCGATTAAAAAAATTTTTTTTAGTTTTATTTTTTGAGAGAGAGAGAGAGAGTGCAAGTAGGGGAGGGGCAGAGAGAAAGGGAGACACAGAATCTGAAACAGATTCCAGGCTCAGAACTGTCAGCACAGAGTCCGATGCAGGCCTCAAACCCACAAATGCAAGATCATGACCTGAGTCAAAGCTGGATGCTTAACCAGCTGAGCCACCCAGGCACCCCAAGTCAATTTTAAAAGTTCTCACCACACACACACACACACACACACACACACACACACAAATTATAACTCTGTGAGGTGATGGATGTATTAACTAATCTCCTTGTGTTAATCATTTTGCAACATACACATACATCAAATCATTACATCACATACCTTAAACTTACACAATGTTATATGTTAATTAGATCTCAATAAAGCTGGAAAAATATAATGCTTACGAGCTTGGCTTTCAAATTCTAAGATATAAGCATATGATTATCATGCCACTTTCCTAAAATGAAAAAGTAAAATACCCATTTTTTGTTCAAGTAATAGTTTCGCTACTGCGATTTAGCATTAAATATTAAGGGTTTACAGTGGGTCTCTGTGTTGTATTTCCCACCATCTCTTACCCCTAGAAAGCAGTCAGCGAAGGCCTGTTTAACGAATTATTGGCAAAATGGTGTTCAAAATTAAAAAGCCATTTGTTTCCCAAAAACGACTGGACTCTGTGTGTGTTTAAAGTAAATTACTATTTTTGAAAGCCTTATTAACAAGGGCATAGTCAGGACTCAACAGATGTGTGGCTCTAATCTTCCACAACTGGATAATCCTCCTTCCTTATGACTTTGAAAGCTTTAGTGACCCTATTGGGTTCTAAAACATGTTTCAGGAGCGCAGGGGAGGACAGAGAAAAGTGCTCCAGGGCAGCTGTCCTCCCCTCCACTGAGGTTCTTTGGATTAAAGACAGGAGGAGTCCATTTGCCTCCTATCTAAGAGCCTAAAAGGTTCACATGCAAAGGTTACTCACGTTTAATATCATGATGAATCACTTTCTTTGAGTGCAGAAAATCAAGTCCCTTGAGAACATGCTTTGTCACCCAAATAATTTCAAATTCTCTCATTGGTCCACAGCTCTCCAGTTTCTCTAGGACAGACCCTCCCTCGCCTGCTTCCATGAAGAGGTGCACGGTTTCACCCCATAGGACTGCGCCATATAACTCGGCAATGTTCTCATGCCGGAAGCAAGCCTGGATTTCCACATCGGATGGCTTAAATTGATCTACTGGGATCTAGAAGGCAGAAATACCAGTAAGATGCTAACCAACCCAGGACAGTGAAAAAATATCTATAATAGAGGTCAACCCACAAACCAGAAGGCAAATAAATGCCCCCAAGGATCCCTCAAGGATCTGCATGAAATTATACTGCCAAGTTCAAATAATGTTGACTTCAAACCTGCATTTACATTATGTCCGCTTTAGGTGATGGCCGGGGCCTGGGGGCTTGGGGAAACAGGTGAAGGTGGTCAAAGCGTACAAACTTGTACAATTCACGAGAAGAAAATAACAAAATATAAAGTATTATTTTCATTTAAAATGTAGCAATCCAACCAAAGAACTATCCATGATTGAATCGAAAGGGTGATAATTTCCCATCCATTTTACATACACTTTCTACGGCACCTAGATTTTTAGGCTCTAGCATCAATATTTCAACTTGTCACGAAATAATATGATGTCTTTGGATCCACAGCTCATGCTCTAGCACTGGCCATCTATTCTATGGAAAATCAAAGTTACTAATAAAGAAAAAAGTAGATCTTTCAGTGCAGATGGAAATGGAATGTCTCCAAAATCTAGCGTTAGACAAAGAAAGCAAAATGCAAAAGTACGTATTTAATGCTCCCACTTGTAAAGAACTTTTAAGCTATACATACACATGTCCACAGACATTTGGAAAGACACAGAACTCATTAACAGTAGCTGCCTCAGCCAAAGGGGTCTCACTCTTCAATCTACATTCTTTTGAATCTGCTAGGGGTTGTTAATCACCCTGTATGTTCTTAAGACAAAAAAATACAGCTTAAAAATTGAATGTCAGTACTCTGAGAACAACAAAGGTATTTTTTCATGCCTTTTCTGACAAAACTGTACAACAGGGCACTTTGGTTCTAAGCTCTTTCTAAAATGTCCCCAGATTCTTTTAAGACAACTGAGACACGTCTCCTCTAAATGCAACCTTCAAGTGGCTTGTGATAATAACCTCCGTTTTTCCTTTTGATAACAGATACTCTAGCAAATCTCTATGAAGGAATAAATGAGGCCAGTATATTGGTGAGCTTTTAATTACAATAACATAGACTAAGGCCACAGTCAACAAATCAAAAGTGACTTCAATTTATTGCACTTCTAAAAACCTTTGAAAGTAAAACAGACATACAAAAAAGCACAAAACTGGTTAACTAGCAAATTCAACGAATTTTCAGCATGTAACCACCACCTGGATCAAGAAGCAAAACTCTACCGGCACCCCAGGAACCCCTTCCTGACCTCCGCCAGTCACTGCCTCCCAAGGGCACCCACTATCCTGACTCCCAGCAGCATGGATCTATTTAGCCTATTTTGGGCCTTTATAGAAGTGGAATCTCACAGAGCAGATTGCTGTCTGGCTGTTTTGGCTTAACATGTCTTTATGAGTTTCATCCACGTTACTACAGGTGTAAATCATGTGTTCTCTTCACTGTACAGCATCCCATTGTATAAAGAGACCATGCTGCAACATCTAGAAACTTTCCAGTTTGGGACTATTACAAATAGTACTCTGATGAACACTCTAGTACACAGCTTTTGGTGACCACGTGTACATGCCTATGGGGTGTGTACCTATAGGAGCAGAATTGCTGGGTCATGGGGTGTGTATACATGCCCAGCTTAGGCAGGTACATGTCCAAAGCAGGGGTACCTCAGCAATGACCGTTTAATAACAAGTGATGGCATCTTTACAAGAATTGGCCTATTTAAGTTCATCCCTTTATTATTTTTTATTTTCTTTTAAGTTACTATTTATTTTTGAGAGAGAGAGAGAGAGAAGGAGGGAGGTAGGGGGAGGGAGAGAGAAAGAGAGACAGGGCATTAATGGGAGGTACAGAATGAGAGGGAGACACAGAATCTGAAGCAGGCTCCAGGCTCTGAGCTGTCAGCACAGAGCCCAATGCAGGGCTCGAACTGATGAACTATGAGATCACGACCTGAGCCCAAGTCAGACACTTAACTGACTGAGCCACCCAGGGGCCCCTAAATTCAGCCCTTTAATCTACAGTCTCGAGAAGCCTGGCAGCTTGCCCAGCTTCTGCTTCCCTACCTGGCCCCTTCCCCAGTGGGTGGAATTAAAGGAGCAGCACACAGATTTGCTCCTGCAGGATAGCTCCCCTCCACTCCACCCTACCACAAGAGGGATGATGATATCCAAGCCGGGTACAGAAGCCAGCGGCATTTTCTTTTTTATCAAGGCAAACTAGAGTAAAACCAACTATGCACTTAAGCAGAGTTAGGGGCTGAACAGCCACAGGCAGCAAGCAAATCCAAAAGGGGGAAAAAAAAAAAAAAGGAGACAGCAAAAGGAAAAGAGGATGAAAAAGAGAAAGAGAAAGACGAAGAAAGAGAAAAAGAGAAAAGGTGCCTTTGGACAGGGCACCCTTACATGAGATCCAGTCAAATGGTAACAACTTCTGAGTAATGCAAACGAGTAAGACCCACAATACCGAACATAGGAACATACGAATAGTAAGTACTATTTTTATCTCCATTTTACAGGATGTCTGGTTATAAAGTACATACCAATTTACAGGCCATTCTTTTCTTAGTCTTTATATCTTGTGCTAAGTATACTTTTCCAAACGCCCCCCGAGGTATGAAATCAGAGCCAATATTCCTGTAAGTCAGCTTCCAAGGGATGAGGAGAACATCAGAGTCTATTTGATAGCGTCCATTTTGGGGAGTGATTACCTACAACAACAACAAAAAAAGGTGGGAGGGTGAGAACTTCAGCAAACTCCTTTTCTAAGACACACCCTTCAGACTGGTTACTTTAGATTGCATTCCTCCACGCGGTGTTTGAAATTAATGTCACTGTTGTGTAATCCTAACAGTGTACAGAGACTATATTTAGAGCTGCAGCAAGACAGAGAAAGCATGTAACAGAAACACATCCCTGGTCGGACCAGATCGTATTTCCACCTACTGGTGAGTAATTCATTGTCAAACAAAACTTTAAAAATTATTTATCGAAGGGAGCATGACTACAGCGACCAAAAGGCTGAAAATAAAGATTGCATAAATATAAGCTGTGACTGCAAGTTGACTTGCTTCCAATTAAAATGTGCTAACCTGTTAGTCTGCATAGCTATTACTCACACATGACGCATACAGAGAGAGCGTGGAAATCAACTGGTGATCGTGGAGGATTCTGGAAAATAATGTGGTATGCCAGGGCTATGAGTTGACAGTGCTGCGTAAATAAAGTAAGGGCAGAATTATCCCTCATCTACTCGCCCACTGAATAATTTACTGAGCGCAGATTGTGTGCTGGCCACTGTGTTCGGTGGTGAGGAGGCAGCTATGAGACCCTTAACCTCCAAGAGCTCCCGAGCAGGCAAACACACTGGGAGGTTTCAAAACCAATCGATTCAAATATTAAAAGAGATGAATCCAGGGGCGCCTGGGTGGCTCAGTCGGTTAAGCGGCCGACTTCGGCTCAGGTCATGATCTCACGTTCCGTGAGTTCGAGCCCCGCGTCGGCTCTGTGCTGACAGCTCAGAGCCTAGAGCCTGTTTCAGATTCTGTGTCTCCCTCTCTCTGACCCTCCCCCGTTCATGCTCTGTCTCTCTCTGTCTCAAAAATAAATAAACGTTAAAAAAAATTTTAAAAAAAGATTATCTTAAAAAAAAAAGAGATGAATCCCGGGGCACCTGGGTGGCTCAGCTGGTTAATGGTCCAACTCTTGATTTCAGCTCTGGTCGTGATCTCAGTTCATGGGTTCGAGCCCCGTGTCAGGCTCTAAGCTGACAGTGTAGAGCTTGCTTGGGATTTTCTCTCTCTCTCTGCCCCTCCCTAACTTGCACTCTCTCTCTTTCTCAAAATAAATAAATAAACTTAAAAAAATAAATAAAAGAATTGCATCCTGGTAGCAGTGTGGACTGCAAGGGTATGTGCTTTTGTCAAAACTCAACAAAATGGACAATTAAGGTCTCTGTATTTTGCTGCACATCAAGAATATCTCAATTGTAAGAGAGCAAAAAATTACAAGGGGAAATAATTATAATTATAATGAAAACAAAGTAATCAGATAGTCCACGGGAATTATGACCTGGAGCACATGCCTAAAACAGGTTTAAAATATTCTTTCAAGGGATAAATGGTCTCAAAAATATAAATTTTTCCTCACTGCAATTAGCAGTATTAGGACTTCAGTTTAGGAATTCAGGAACTATGAAACTGTCGTGACATTAAGTTATTTCAAGTGCAGAAGAGGCCAAAGGGGAACGTGGACCACATGGGAAAAGAATGAACACCTGATTCATGTGCAGATGCGTGGGCCTGTCGTAAGGTCACTGCCGCGGGAATAGTTCTAATAATCCCAGGGTTATTCACTGCGTCTCCATTACCGCCTATCTTAGCTGCACCTCCAACAGATGCGTGTGCTATTAGTCAGGCAGCGAAGCAGAGGACAGCTCCAATACTAAGAAGTGTGAAGTCACTAAATTTAAAATGAAATATTTCCTGAGCACTCCCCGGAGCCAGCTCCTGCACGGAGCCCCAGCAGGAAATCGAATACGAATACTTACGACAGCCCATAGACTTGCCTCGTTTGAAATATGACCTCCTTTCGAGAAGTGTCTCACCTCCAGTGACTGGAGGCCTCTTTTTACAGCACGCTAAGAACGTGATAAATTTAGTCCCTTTCCACATTTAGACAGAACCATACCCACGGCACTCCACTGTACATGCTTATTGCTTCTTTCTTGTTATTAAATATTTACATATCCCACGTCACCTAGACTCCAGTTATCCACTTCAGGGTATCATTCGCCTTCGTAGAAGTTTTACTTCTGTCCAACTTTGTTATAACCCAACCTGATCCAAGGGATAAAGGAGAATAACAGCGGCCGTATGTTGGGTGATTAATTAAAAAAATTTTTTTTTAAGTTTATTTTTGAGAGAGAGAGAGAGAGAGAGAGAGAGAGAGAGAGAGACGGAATCCAAAGCAGGCTCCAGGTGCCGAGCTATCAGCACAGAGCCTGACAGGGGGCTCGAACTCACGGACCACGAGATCATGACCTGAGCTGAAGTTGAATGCTCAACCGACAGAGCCACCCAGGTGCCCCTGTTGGGAGCTAATTACAAACCAGGCACTGTCCTGCGGCCTCGTCAAAGGCTCACAACGATCCTGTGAGGTAAGCACTATTTTTATCTCCATTTTACAGATGAGGAAACCTGTTTCAAGAGGTTAAGTAACTCACTAGGCAATGGCAGAGTCAGGATTTGAACTCAGGTCTGTCTGACCCCAAAGCCACAGCTCTTACGTGCCTCTGATCTTCTAGAAGACTGGAATTAAAGCTAAGCCATGATCAAAAGCCAGTTATTAAAAGTCTGCACTCACAAGTCACTGAGCACTTAGCCTTCACCTCTTTAGAGGGAATACCGCGAGTTCCTCCGGCCTGATTTTGCAATCTTGCATGTTCTGGGGACCCTCCTCCGAGGGCCGGTTCTCCTTTGATGATAAACCCCGAAACACACAGTGTGATACGCAAGCACCAACTAGTCTGTAGTTCTGCAAAGTCCCTGGTTCTTCCCCTGGCCCTAGACCTTCCCTTATTTGGGTTTGCAATGTGGTTTTTTTTTTTTTTCCTTCTTCTTCTTTTAGGGTCCCTGCAAGATAATCTTCTGGAAGTCCACGCTGCTCATCTTTTGCCAGTTCTTCAGCTTACCAAAGCCACCATTAAGCGCAGACATATAAGCACGCTTTGGATCTCCTCCAGATCAGTGACGTTCAACAATACTGGGCCCAGCAGCAGGACTTGAGAAAAACTCTTAGGTATTTTAAGAAGAATAAACTCCGTAGGGAGCCTGTGTTTATGGCTGCTACAAAACGAATACAACTTAGAAGAGGCATATTATGGGGAACACAGGCAAAGCTGGCTCTTTTCCACTCTGCTGATCACACAACAAAGGGACTGCCACATTCAAGTTCTGGGCTGTAAGACAGGCACTGACCCAGGCTTGAGTTCAGAAGGTGCTGCCCAGGTGGCAACGACAGTTAATGATCCAGTGAGTGACAAGTAGCAGACACAATGAGAAGTGTTTGGGGCAGAGGAGAGAAGATGTGGGGAACATTAAAGTTTCAAAATACTGGAAAGACTAGGGCACCTGAGTGATTCAGTCGGTTAAGCAACCAACTTTGGCTCAGGTCGTGATCTCACAGTTCGTGAGTTCGAGCCCCATGTCAGGCTCTGCGCCACGGAGCCTGGGGTCTGCTTCGGATTCTGTGTCTTCCTCCCCCGCTCTGCCCCTCCCCGGCTCATGTTCCGTCACTCTCTCTCTCAAAAACAAATAAACGTTAAAAAAATAAATAAATAAAATATAGGAAAGACTGTCCTAAGGAAGGAGGGTAACAGCTGTGGACAACAACGGCCATGACAACAGCTGGCATCCTTTCAACACTCACAATACATAAACAGCTCACGTGCCTTCATTATTTGTCCCACACGACACCCCCACAGAGTAAGTGTTACGATGCTGCCCAGTTTACAGATGAGTCAACTGAGCCATCGAGGGGTGTAATGACTAGCCCCATATCACAGAGCTAAAGCCAGAGCTGAAATACACACCCAGGCACTTTCATTCATGGGCCTGCACCCTCACACTACCCAACATATACACCTTTTTATGGCTGAAAAGTAGGACTAGGGCTAAGGGGACTCAGAGACAGATTTTAGTTCTCTAGAAAGAAGGACTTTCCTACAGTCGGAATGGGCTAAGTATGAAACTTAATGCCCCAGCATGCGATCAACTCTTCGTCACGGGACATTTTCAGGCACGGACCAAAATGTTCCAACAATTATTGGATAGACCGGGGTGATTCCAGCATCAGACAAAGGGCTTGACTCAAGTATCTTTAAGGGTTTTTTCAGGCCTGGGAAGCCATGAGCGAGCCCTCTGGGGCCCTGCAGCGCCCATACAATCACCAATGAGTCTGGTGTTGGCAACCCATTTTCGGTTATTCATCCCCCACTCCGGTTATGAATTGGTCTGGAGTGTAAACAACTCACAGCACTGTCATACAAAGCAATGCCCAGGTTAGTCTACAAAAGCTTCTTCTCCAGGTCCTGCTGGACGTGGGTGGAATCTTTACGAATATTATTTTTAGAAAAATAGCACGCGCTTGCATACACGTGCAGGCCAATTAGATGCCTAGGCTGGGGGATATTTTTGCAATTCCTGGTCCTCCGCCCAGTCTCATTAACTCCACGGGCTTTATTGTTGTTGGTTGCCAGAAACACACGACGTCTCCATGCCTCTGGGCTTTCGTATGTGCCATTCCCTACACCTCGAACACTCTCCTCCTCTCTCCACCCCCTTTTATCTGGAGGACTCCAACTCGAAAGCTCAGGCACCAATTCCTTGTAGAAGCCTGTCTGGCATTGTCTCTTCCCCCTCCCCACCCTCACAGCTATGTAAAGTCAAGGCGTCCCGTCTGAGTCTGAGCAGCCCCACTGCAATCAAGGTGTAGTTGTACTGGGAAGTAGCACACTGCATTCATTGTAATTGCCTGTTTACTTTTCTCCCACATTCACCAGACAGTAAGCTACCCAAGAGCACAGATTCTTCCATACTGGATCTATAGCACCTGGAAAAGTACCTGATACGCTGCAGATATTTGACCTACGTCTAGCGAATGAATGGATGAATACTGGAAAGGAAAGCATTTGGTCCGTGTGTAGATGCACTTCATAGATCAATTTGACTTCGGAATCTATCCGGCTGTTAGATAATTAGCTATCGTTTTTTAAAGCAAAGAGACAGCAGCAAATGAAGCCCCGAGCGGAAAAGCTTTGATAAGGGTATTAGGAGGAGGGCCACAGGAAGACAAAGGTCTTACCCAGGGGATGGTTCCCAGGGGAGCACCACATGAGGATGAATGGGAGTCACAAGCCAGCTGTGCCTCCTTCCTCATCTTGTCTCCGACTGCCGAAGACCAAGCACTGCAAATCACGATTCCTAAGCCATTATTTATAAAGCACAGGCCTGGCATAGGTTACTAGCAGTCACGGGAGGTATCCGATTCTGAAGCTTAGTGACAGAAAAGTCAACCACAGCCCCGAGAGCCACCGACCACTGGGCTGATTTGCCCAGGGAGGCCTGGTCTACATTCCTGTGGATTTTAAGGTTCTTCTGTTATTCTACTCCAGTTTTAAATCTCCTTGCTTTATGTTCTTGATCATTTTTAAATTGAAAAGCTTTCTAAAGTCTTAAAGGTCCCTGCTTTTATCATCTGTCCTATTCTTAAATTTTCTCCTGAATAAGCATCCGTTCATTTATAGAGCACGGGCCCCATGGCAGGGACTGGCAACATACTATTCTCAGCCTTTGCTGATAAAATTGCTACTTCCTTTTAATGTCTTTGTTTCTCCCCTTTTCTGCATTGGCTCCCCCCCCCAAACCCTTCCAGAAGCTATTTCTTTGTATTCTTTATAATTTTCCTGAATTCCTTTCTGTACACCCCCAATGAACTTCTATGGCCCATCTCTCATCAATCTGATGGACCGGAGGAAATGTTGCTAAGTCTCTACATATTTATAAGCAAAAGAATTTTGTGTATTCTGCGTGTGTTCCTTTAAAATACCCATCTTAACATATGCATAGATTAAAAAAACATACAATTATTTCTCATTATAGGTACTTTTTAACCAGAACTCTCCACCTATATTTTAGTTAAGAAAACACATAGTGCTCCTAGCTGAGGATTACCTCCATGTAGAAGAAGAACTAATATTATCAAGGTAAAGTACTTCGTCAACTATTACATACAACTTGGAACCAAAGCAAGTCACGCAAGGATGCAAAACGTAACCTTGCTCCAAACTGAGCTAGAGCTGAACACGACTGGTTTCTAACAAAACAGTATACTACAAAGCTGACCTAAATTACTGTGTTGTTTTTTAATTGAATGCAGTACACGAAACAAAAAAAAAAAAGAAAGAAAGAAAGCAAAACCCAACAACGAAATAATTAAGTACTTTGTCCAGACTCTAATCATTCAACACTGACCTTCCCCCGACATTATCCATTTTGCCACACAGATGCACCAAAGGAAAAGGAGTTACTTTCATCAATATACACATTTTGCACATTATTACCTCCTCCTTTGCCAATTGTTCTTTTTAAAAAATTCAGTGACTTTTACCCAGCACCTACATTCACCTCTGACCCACTAAGACTGCCAGAATCCCAGACCCACCCAAACACATCATCTGATCAACTTCTGTGACAAAGTACTGTCACAACATTTTGGATTATTTGCATACCTGGTATGACTAAGGAGGTATTTCATTTGTCATTCATACTTTGCCAATTAAAGAGAGTGAATCTGTGGATAGCTATTTATGGCCTGCAAACTACATTTCTGCAAGAACTCAAGTTAGCCAGTATTAACATCGGGACATTCCCAAGATGTGGTAAGAGACGAGCAAAAAATTCAGCTTTCAAAAATATTAATTAAAGTCTGCATCCCCCTCTCAGATGAAGGATTCTCATTAAGGCTTTTTCTTCTGCCTAACTAACGAATGAACTTGTTAATGAATTGTTAGGTTAAAATACATTCTTCTTAATGGCCTGTTTGTACAACGGACAGATGGAAAAGGTTCTTTAAGTGGAACTCCTAATGAAGACCTTTCCTGCATCTTTAACACAGAGGTGATTCTCACGGACGCCACATTTTTAAAAGTCATACCTGGCAGCCAGTCTAAGCCTGGTTCAAATGCCCCTCTGCATTAAGTGAAGCTGCCGTAGCAAAGCTGAACCCATAGCACTCAATGATCGGGAAAAAACATACCATATTTAATAAAATTCCAGATTCCTGTGGTCGGTGTCCGTAAAAACGCTTTGCCGTGTTGGATATATGGTTTGCAAAGGCAAGCAAATCCTCCACGGTGCCATATCTGACGGAGGACAACCAAGGCACCTCCTGGCCACTGAGCAGCAGAGATTCTGTACGCTCCTCGTTTTGATTACTGTCTTGACACATGGTCATCAGACTGGGCTCATAAACCGCTGGCTCTTCACTCGTGTAAAGATTTTCCATAATGTCTATGACATCGGACACGTTCAAGTGTTTAATTAATAAATCGATCTCTTCTTTATCGTCACTTCCAGTGCTCATGTACTCCATCACTGTTGTGCTTTTTAGAGAGTCTGCAAAAGAAAACACGAACGCTTAGTGACGGTGTTTGTATTTGCGACTAAGATCAATGGGAAACTGACATAAAAGGATTGGGAACAGGCTTCCATGCGCCTGTTGGTGAAAGGAGGGCTCTGTGTCAACAGTGTAAATTCAAGTTGACAGTGAAGAAAGGGACCTTAGATAACCTTTAGTCCAGCTGTTCACTTTACAGAGGGGAAACCTGAATCCAGAGAGCTTACTCCTTACTCACTCACTCACTCACTGAACTGGTGGCATCAGCTACAGCCACTGAAAACAAACCTTCACGAAATACCAAGGCTCCTGGCCCTTGACAGCTTCCAACCCTACCGTTCCCCCAAGAGACCAACCCTCCCCGCACAGATCTCTGTGGCTTCCCAGCCTTGGGTGACTTTAAAGGAAAAGAACAATTTTATCAAATTCAGGAGCTCACATGGCAAATACAATTCAGGCCTTGGAGCCAAAAACATGTAAAATGGATTCTAATGTGAGTAAGCTGATGGTGATAGGTCAAGTTTCAGGAATAATTCTGATGCAAATGAGTTAAACAGCTCCTGTAGACTGGGGACCACAAGCTTCAAATCCTACCAGCCAGGAGTGTGAGAGAGGGGAAGATTTCTTTTAGCCTGTGAAATCAGCCGTCTCCTCTTGAGACCAGAATTCCTTAACAGCACAAAACATGTATCTCAATGGCCCAAGAAAGTTAATCTAATACTTAGATTGATCACCCTCTAGAAGTCGTGGTGTTATGGAGAGGCCTGCAAAGCCGAATCAGTCCTAAGCAAGACACGGGTAAGGCCAGCTAACTACATACCTGCTAATATTGTATTTCAGTTCTTATATGCAAATCGGGGGCTACACCTCAGGATCCATAAATGAAAAAAAGAAGGTAAAGCAAAGGTAAAAAAAAAAAAAAAA